ACAAGGTGTTTGTTCCATCAGAATGTAAGGAAAGGCATAGCAAACGAAGAACGCGGGCATTAAGGTGTTCTATTACCTGTTGGCTTGCAGTTAGGTCAGTGGTGTGCCTTAACCCAAACTGCAATAATGCAAAGAAACATATATTGTACCATCTGGGTCTGAAACATGACTTTGAAGTCATATAGACATCTTAGTGCAAGTCAATCAACTGGTATACATTAGACAGAGAAGACCTCCAGGTAAAAATTGGAGATGATTTAATGGATTGGTTATTTTCAGCAAATTTTATTTTAAGCCCTGTTTGAAAGTGCTTTTAATATATCAACTCGTTCAACCATCACAACTCAATGATATTCGTGCCATTACTACTCTATTTTAACAGTTAGGGAACTGAGGCACAGAGAGGTCAAGAACTTACTAGTAGTCACATGTCTAAGAAATAATGTGCCTGGACCATTAAATAAAGTCTATACTTATGTGTCATTGACCTACCAGTTTGAGTCATTTGGTAGACTGCAAAAAAGAAAGCTAATTTCAACCTATTTATACAGTTTGCCAATTAAAAGAACAGAGGATGAAGTAATATAATAAAAGTAGCAGGATTTGAGGTGACTACAACTTTGCTCTGCGGTGTAGGTGCTGGACTTTTGACAGAGAACAGATCTTTTCCTCCTCATACTCCTTGTTTAAATGTGAAATCCAGTGAGGAGAGCATATAGTTCTGGAAACATAATGAATTCTAAAATATATTGTAAAGAGGTCATACAATTTGGAATTATAAACCAATTCTAGCCATTTGGCTTTGAGCAAATTAGCCAAATTTATTATATGCCTCATTTAATAAAGGGAAATAATAATAATAATATTGTTTCCAAAGTTATTATAAGGATACAGTGAAGAGAATACATGAAATATAATTGGTAAAGGCCAACATAGAGAAGATAATTGTTAATTTCACACTTATCACAATAGTACTTGTGGTTAATAAATACATAATTGAAGTTGATAAATACATAATTACTGGGGAGGGTTTATTCATGTCAGAACTTACAATGACAGAATCCTCAAATGACTTGATAAGGCTTGCAGGTTTAAAACTAGATTATTCAAGTGACTGAAGAGCTTCTACAGAAAGCAGCCCATGGAGAGCCTTCCAGGTACAAGAGCAAAGCTGTGATTACAGCTGAACTTAACATTTGACCCTAGGTTTACTAGTAAAGACAAATGGAAATTCAGTGTGTTAGCTATCATTTGAAATTCAAAAATGCAAAACAAATTTGCTTCTCTTATTTGGATCTTTCAAATGGAGGTATCATCTGGGTACCATGTTATCTGGATAATAACCATTTTTCTGCAAAACTTATGACTGGATAAACGAGTACTGTTTAAACTAGAAGCATATAGTGAGCAAAGAAGATCTGTGATTAGCCCTTCAAATGATTACAACCAAGTCTGAAAAACACACACCTAAAATAAAAATAGTTTGCCTAAATTACCTCAAGATGTGAAAGACCAAAATGAATGAAATATTTTTTTTTTCTGTACTACGAGGCACATGCCCAGGACAGCTAAAGAAAAAAGAAAAAGAAAAAGAGAGAGAGAAAAAAAGAGGTAAATGTAAATAATACTGCAATGAGCATAGGGGTGCATATGTTCTTTCAAATTAGTGTTTTGGGTTTCTTTGAATATATACCCAAAAGTGGACTCACAGGGTCATAGGAAGTTCCATTTTTAATTTTTTGAGGACACTCCCAGATATTTATGGTGCCAGGTGGGTACCTGAAATTCCAGGGTGGGGGGAGGGCATCTTGTAAAGTAGATGATTATTTAACTACCAGGTTGTCTAAACGAGTGCTGTGGGGCCTTTGAAGCTTTAGAACAGATTTATTGCATTAAAGGACTTAATTTGCGAAGCTGGTTCTTATTCAACACCTAGTTACATTTCCCTGCTCTCAGTGCCTGTAAGGCAGTGGTTCTCAACCTTGGCTGCACATGAGAATCACCTGGGAATCTTTTTAAAATCCTGATTTCTGGGCCTCATCCTCCGGAAATTCTGTTTCTTTGTTATGGGGTGGGGCCACAACATTAGTAACAAAGAAACAGAATTTCCGGAGGATGAGGCCCAGAAATCAGGATTTTAAAAAGATTCCCAGGTGATTCTAATGTGCAGCCAAGGTTGAGAACCACTGCTAAGGTTTCTGCCCACTCAGTTATAACCACTGCTGAAATGACATTTTAAAACCTGGGGATATAAGTACTGAGCCCATCAGTGCAGTCAAACATCTTATCTCTTGGTCACTAAGAAGTAACCTAACATATTAAAAGAAGTAGATTTCAATATGTCTGAGGAACATGAATTAGCAGAATTAAATTCGTTTTGTGGAGTGGTGGGGTACTTGCCTCCTTGGATTGTTGCTCACATTACTCTTGGTGGTGGTGGCAGTAATGGTGGTAGCAGATGTGCTAGTGGTTATAGCAGTTGTTTCTTGTTAATAGTAGTTGCACCACCTGATTGTTATTTATTTTAATTTTACATAATAGAAGAATCAAGGATTATAATTATTGCTTTTACATACTAACAAAATCTTTTATATTTTTACTTGGTTCTTTGGGAACAATTTAAGACTTCATCTTTGAAATTTAGGAGCTTTTACATACTAACAAAATCTTTTATATTTTTACTTTGTTCTTTGGGAACAATTTAATTTTCATTCTGGAAAACTTTTTCCTGATGAAAGAAGCAACAGTTAATGATTCCCATGATTTGAAACTGGGTGTATAGAAGGTGGAGAATAACTTTTTGCCAAGTCTGTGTAGGAACATTCAGTGACAAATATATATATGATTTTAGAAACTAACAGTAAGAATGGAGCATCTGAAATCATCGATGGGTGTGCATTTTGCAACCCTGTTTTTAGGAATTGCTGATGCTTTTCTTAGAGTTGTTTTGGAGAATGAATTTTGTATTGATTTAAAATCACCTTACTCCTTGAGTTACTGCATTCTTTACTCTTCAAATCAAGCAAAATTTCTTCTAATAGTACCTGGAGAACATAGAGTAGAGAAATAACTATCCAGAGCTACTGTCCCTGAAAGAACATTTGCAGAGTATAATTTAATTTTTTTCCATAAACTATCAGACTTTTAGAGTTTTTCTATCCATTTTAATGGTGAAATTACAAAGGCATGTTGGTGAGGATCAGAGAAAAAATAAATCATAGACCTTGAAAAAATAGTTACTCTTCATCTATATAATGTTAAGGATGTGATATTGGGCTTTGAACTTCAAGTGTGTCTCTGAAAATCTACAGGGAAATAAAGTAAAAGTAATGGCTGCATCACTTTATGTAACATCTTTAGTACATTTGAGCTGTGCAAAATTGCAAATGGACAAAATTCTCCTCAAGGCATAGGAAATTTATTTTGAGAGCTATTACTTATCAAATAAGAAACAAGATGTAATCAACAATTAAAATACATGTTAAGACTTTCCTAATTAAAATATGTGTTTAAGGTAAATAGTCAGAATTAAAATATGGAAAAACCAAGAAGGCGGCATAGCATGTTAAGACTTTCCTAATTAAAATATGTGTTTAAGGTAAATAGTCAGAATTAAAATATGCCTTTAATAAAAATTAAAAAAGAAGTAAAGGAGACACTGCTAGAAAGACAGATGAACTTCAAAGTCAGTAACGACAGATTTAATTCTCCAATAATTCCAGTTTATAATTTGAAACAATAAAATCACAATATACAATGAAAGCTTTATTTGGATCATGAAGTGAGATGACAAAAGTTTGAACACTTCTAGAAGTTTAAATCCTACCCAATTTTATGTTTTTTAAATCTTGCTTGTTTTATCAATTTTTGTGAAAATTAAAACATGATCTGCAGTAGCCCCAGATATCTAGTTAGCTTATGATTGCCTAAACACTACAACTGCCTTTTCACAAATAACTTGCTCTGGATTTTATTTTGTAATAGTGTGTGTGTGTGTGTGTGTGTGTGTTCGCACATGTGTGTGCCCATTTGCATATATGTTCTTAATTGTGCATTCCTTAGCTTAATGTCAAAATGAGTTATCATTTTGAGGAGCTGACTCTCCCTTTAGACCTAAGACTTGGAGGCAAGAAACTAGTACAGGATTAGCAATTGGTCATGGGTAATCCACAAAGTAAATAAACCAAGTGTGAATAATTGAAAGTGGGTAAGGTTGTAACATCAGAGCTATTGAAATTTAATTCAAGAGGAAGTTCTCCATAGTAAATTTCCTCTCATTATCCAACTGCTAGCATAGGCCGCCACTGATAAGCAAAGAGGCCTTGTGCAATATCAGTGTTTTCACCATCTTATCTGCAAACATATAATCTTTATCTTTTTGATGAGGTGCTAGAATTACAAAGACTTGAGTAACCTGAGAAATGTGCCAGTTTTTTCATGGGTGTTTAGCTTCCCTTCAACTTTGAAAAAGAGGTCTGACACATTTTCTCCATTTTAGTAATGGAGAAAGATATAAAAATATATATGAAGACATGTATGTGTAGCTTCTGAAATGTCCTTAGCTGAAATTGCAGTTTAAGAAAATAAAATTAAACATCATGAAAGTACATTCACTTGTAAAAAAGATTCACATGTTTGGCTAGTGCTAAAATAACAAGGGATTAATAACGGCAGATTGAGTGCTGGAATTACTGATAGTACTATACTAATCTTTTCAGCCTGATAATCTCTTCCAGATAATAGTCATTTTGTCCACAATTACAGTTGTTCATAATATAGATTTTTGATTTGATGGTCTGCAGGGTGCTATCAAATCCTACGCAAATGTGTTACTTAATCCAGACCCAACTATTGTTGAGCAGACATTAATTTTATTCCTTTTTTTTTTAGCTGCTATGATATTTTATTTTCAAAATAATACTGCAACTGAGTTGGAGCTATTTTAATTAAAATTGTATCTGGACTTTTTCTTAACATGTTTCCTACTTTTCTAATTATAGGTTTCATATACACTGGAGAAGTTGTACATCGAATGCTGACAGCCACACAGTACATAGCACCTTTAATGGCAAATTTTGATCCCAGTGTCTCCAGAAATTCAACAGTCAGATATTTTGATAATGGTATGTATTGATTAGCCTATTTTTTTTTTTACTGAATGCATACTTTTATTTTTTGGGCTCTTCTTTTTTTAATTAAATCTTTATTGTTGAAAGTATTACATTGTTCCCTTTCTCCCCTCCCCCAAATTGGTCCCTTCTAGCCTGCCCCCCACCCCCACCCCAAGCCTTCATCATGAATGCATACTTTTAAATGCTGACCATCAACTTTATATTAATGTTTATGTAACTTGGAGTATTTTGCTTAGTTTTTGATAGATTGATTTATAAACTGCTCAGTGTAAATACCCTAAGATGACAAAGTTATACCATGACATTTAATATGCAGAGTAAATATATAGTTAAATTCCACTCATTTTACTCATTTATTCAATTGTTCAACAAATGTTTAGTAAGACATATTAGACACTATAATAAATGAGTTGTTAAACCAAGCAAGTACATTTGATGCTATTTTCAGTAAGCCCCTGCTATTAGAAAAACTAAATAAGGATAATTTGTTCTGATCCTCAAGTAGAGGCAAGTGTCATAATACATTGATATTAAATTTTCAAAACTTAAGAACTTTATTACCATAAGATGAACACGCCTTTAAAAAATATAGGGTAGTGGGTAGTTAAAATACATGTAAGAAAATCTAGTTTTTCTGCCCAGGCCAATGTGGCTCCATTGGTTGAGCATTGTCCCATGCCAGTTCATTCCCAGTCAGGGCACATGTCCAGGTAGTAGGAGGCATGCAAGAGGCAGCAGATTAATGTTTCTCTCTCACATTGATATTTCTTTCTCTCTCCCTCTCTCTTCCTCTCTGTCTAAAATCAATAAAAAAAAATTAAAAGAAAAAGAAAGAAAATCCACTTTTCCTAACTTTAAAATATGAAATAGAGCCTTTTAAGGTTTATAATGTCCTAGAGGCCCGGTGCATGACATTCGTGCACTTGGGAGGCAGAGGGGGGGCGGGTCCCTCAGCCTGGCCTGTGCCCTTTTGCAGTCGGGGAGCTTTCAGGGGATGTTTAACTGATGGCTTAGCACTGCCACGGAGGCAGGAGAGGCTCCTGCCACTGCCTCTGCACTTGTGAGCCCAGCTTCTGGCTGAACGGCACTCCCCCTGTGGGAGCACACTGACCACCAGGGGGCAGCTCCTGTGTTGAGCATCTGCCCCCTGGTGGTCAGTGCACATCATAGCAACTGGTTGTTCTGCTGTTTAGTCAATTTGAATATTAATATTAATCTTTTATTATATAGAATACTGACAATAATTTATCTGTAATATTTATTTTTAATATGCAAATTTTCCCCATGGAAGTTTGACCGGGAGACAGATCGCTAGCTATGATGTGTGCTGACCACCAGGGGGCAGTGCAGAATGAAGGAAGGCCCTGGCTGGCAGCAGGCAGCCGAGGAAGGGAGGCCCCTACCAGCAGCTGGCAGCTGGAGAAGGGAGGTCCCAGCTGGCAGCCAGGGAAGGGAGGCTCTGGCCGGCAGCCAGAAGGCCCCAATTGGCCCTGATTGCCAGCCAGGCCTAGGGACCCTACCCTTGCACAAATTTCATGGACCAGGCCTCTAGTATAAAATAGTCAAAGAAAATCTATACTATGTCACAAAATTCAAATCTAAGTAAAAATTTAAGATCCTGAAGACAGAAATGAATTTTCATCTCTATATCTTATTGAAGGCTCTAACTTTAGTAGAGAAAATAGGAAAACAGCAGTCTGCTTGGAAAGTTAATAAAAGATGGAAGTACAAACTTCCAGTTTTATTATGTCATCGGCATGTAAATTATAGCATAGGGTGTAGAGTCCGTAATATTGTACAATGAGGGATGATTACTGGACTAATTGTGGTAATCACTTTGTAAGGTATATAAATGTTGAATCACTTTGTTGTATACCTGAAACTAACATAATATAGTATGTTAACTATAAAAATAAATTCAAATTAATTAATTAATTGTGTATAAGATATACATTTCCAGCCACTCTATAATATAAAGATAGTATTTATTTGTTCAAATAAAAATATTATCTTTTAAAATAATGGAAATATTTGGTGTGAACAAAGCTATTTTTACACTTGTCTTAATGATCAAGGAAGAAATTCACTAGTTGGTAGTACACACAAAATGGTGCAGTTGTTTGGGGGAAATGTGATCATTGTGCTAAAAGCCAAATGATGATGAAGCCTTTTAGAGGTCAAAATATCAAAGGAAGAAGGAAACTAAACATAGTTAGAAATATATTTTGAGAACTGCATTTCAAACAATTTGAATAACAACAAAATGTGTTCTAATATTAATAACTCTGAATGTTAGCCATAATAATAATTTCCCCTTATTATTTTAGTAATTGTCATATACTTTATTTTTCCTCTTTGAAAAATTTTATGAGGTGCTAAAGCTCAAGAATGTACAAGTAGATTGTAAGTATACGTGAGGCAAAACTATCACCAGAAACTTACCTGAAGCTTATTGCATGACCTACCGAAGAGAATCACCTTAGTAATCAGGAAATGATTGATGAAAGTTGATTATTTTCCAAGCTCTGTCACTTACTAGGTACAGTTGAGGATATTCACTCATAGGCATAGGATTCTGATGACCAAGTTTTTATTTCATTAGCATCAAAGTAATAAAGTAACTCTCTCCACCCAGATACTCTCTCATACACCATGTACCTACACAGCTCTTAATGTTTTAATTTTACTGTTATTTCAGTGATTTTTACAAATTAATATATGGTACTCCAACTGAACACTAAATTATTTGAAACAAGGACTGTGACTATAAGAAGTCATTTTATCTTAAATACCTGGCACAATAAATCAGTAAGTCTTTCATAATTATTATTCAATGGATAAATAAATGAAAAAAATTAAATATGTAAGATGAGTTTTTAATCCTGAGAATAATAAAAGCAGTAATACTAAAGAATTAATGTATTTTACTTTATTGAAATATCTTCTGTGTAATGGCCAGTGGAGAGATTGAGTTTCTACATTATGACAATGGAAGCTGAGTAATCGCTTTTGTTTCAATAAATGAATGAACCACGTTTTAATATTATAGACTCTTCACAAAGTCCTTTTGTACAATAGCAACTTACTGAAATATTTCCAACTTTAATTGGTCAGGATCATTGAAAGAATGCTTAAGGATGGAAAACTCAACATTTTAAGAAAGCAAAAATTTTCTAGAGGAGACAGCAGCAATTTAGAAAACTTCTAAGTTAGTATTTCTGTAAGTTTTAAATGACTGGATTTTAAAAATGAGAACCTGGAGAACATTATGCTAAATGAAATAAGCCGGTCAGAGAAAGACAAGTACCATATGATTTCACTCAAATGTGAAATTTAATGAACAAACTGAACCACCAAGTAAAATAGAGACAGACTAATAGAGATAGCAGGACAAACTCAGGTAGAGAGAGAAGGCAGACAGCTCTGTTGGGGGAGGAGAAGGAGGAAGGACTGTTGGGGGAGGTATTGAGCAAAAAAAGGAATAAAAAAAGAGAGAGAGAACTAACTCATGGACATGGGCAACAGTGTGGCGATTGTAGCGGGGTGGAGTTGGAAGAGAGCATGATGGGGGGGGGATAAATGGTGATGGAAAAAATAAAATAGATATATAAATAAGTAAATAAATAAAAATGAGACAATGTTTCTAAATGTTACAGGTAGCCTGGATGAATACAAAAGTCTGAGTCACAGGATATTAATGCAGAAAAATTAGAAAGGTTACAAAAATAAACCCTTTACTAGGAAAATAATTGAATAGCAAATTATAAAGCACAATTCTTGCTAATGATCAGAAGCTTGATACATTTAAAAGCTCTACATTTTTATATCCTCCACTACATTTTGTTTTCGATATGACAATTTACACATTTTTATATTGTATATCCATTAACAAATTAATTTAGTTATGGTTATTTTTAATACTTTTGCCTTTTAACCTTTACACTAGAGTTATATGTGCTTTACCTGCCATCATCACAATATTGGAGTATTCTGAATTTAACTACATATTTACCTTTATCATTGAGTTTTATGGTTTCATATAATTCCTTTTACTAATCAGCATGATTTTATTTCAACTCAAAGAACTCCCTTTAACGTTTCCTATGAGTCTGGTCTAGTGGTGATGAACTCCTTCAGCTTTTCTTTGTCTGGCAAACTCTTTATCTCTCCTTTAATTCCGAAGGTCAGCTTTGCCTGATAGAATGCTCTTGGTTGGCCCTTTGACTATCTCATCCCATTCCCTCTGGCCTGCAAGGTTTCTACTGAAAAATCCAATGATAGCCTCATGCAGATTCCCTTCTAAGAAACAGATTGCTTTCCTTTGCTGCTTTTAGGTTTCTTTCTTTGTCTTTAAACTCTGATCATTTAATTATAATGTTTCCATGTGAGTCTCTTTTGATTCATCTTGTTTGGTATTTGGGGGCCCCCTAGATCTGGATATCTGTTTTTGTTCCCAGGAAGGGAAATTTTTCAGCCACTATTTCTTTGAATAAGATTTCTGCCCCTTTCTCTCTCCTTTATCTTTCTGAGATCCCTAGAATGTAAATATTGGTCCACTTGATAATGTCCTACATGTCCCTTAGCCTATCATCACTCCTTTCATTCGTTTTCCTTTTTGCTCCTCTGATTGGATGAATTCCACTGCCCTGTCTTCAAGAGCATCGGTCCTGTCTTCTACTTAATGTCGCCTACGGCTGAACCCCTCTATTAAAATTTTCAGATCAGTTATATACTTCAGATATATGATTTCTCTTTAATAGTTTTTAATACTTTTTCTGTCTTTGGCTGAAATTCTCACTGTGCTCATGCATTGCTCTTCTGACCTCGGTGTTCATCTTTATGACTTATTTTGAACTCATTTGGGTAAATCATTTACCTCCATTTCATTAACATCTGTCTCTGGAGATCTTGTTCTTTTATTTGAAACATATTTCCTTGTTTATTCATATTTCTTGGCTCTGTGTTGGTTTCTGCACATTAGATAAAATAGCCACCTCTTCCATTCTTGTCAGAGGGGTCTTGTGTAGGAGTTGACTCTCATCAATCAGGCAGGCTGAAGCTCCTGGTTGCCTCTCAAACCCTGGTGGTTGTCTAAGACATCATCTTTGTTCCAGTAGCTGAGAGTGTTCTAAGACCCATCTGTGTCCTAAAGGGGAGATCAGTCAGCACCTAGATGCAAGCTGATTTGTTGCTACTCTCAGGCAGCAGCTGGGGAAGTCTGCAGTCAAACCCCTTCCAGGGAGAAACTGGGGGACAGGCATTTTTGCCTGCTCTCTCTGCACTGTGTCTGGAAGTTTAATCCTGGGAGTGCCTCTGCACCATTTTGAAACTTCTTTGTTTGCTCTAATCCAGTGATGGAGAACCTTTTGAGCTCGGCGTGTCAGCATTTTGAAAAACCCTAACTTAACTCTGGTGCCGTGTCACATATAGAAATTTTTTGATATTTGCAACCATAGTAAAACAAAGACTTATATTTTTGATATTTATTTTATATATTTAAATGCCATTTAACAAAGAAAAATCAACCAAATAAATGAGTTCACGTGTCACCTCTGACACGGGTGTCATAGGTTCGCCATCACTGCAGTCTAATCTTTGACTTGTAGATGCAAGCCCTGTTGGCTATCAGAGCAAGGCGGTTTATTTTAGGTGCCCAAACCTCGATGGCAGCCATAAAATTTGGGGCACTCCACATAGACAGAGCTCCTTTGAGATAAATACTGGCAACTTGGTTTTACTGTTGGAGTGAGCTGCAGGGAGAAGGTGAAGCATTAGATGAATGCTACTTAGATGCTGGACTCTCATGCAACAGCTTATAAAATATGTCGTCACATCTCTTAAATGAAAATACTGGGGGATGGGCATTTTTGCCTGCTCCCCCTCTGCTGAATCCTCAGGGGTGGAGGGCATGGCCATGGCAAGCGCACAAAGATGAGCCTGTCTGCTATAAGCCTGTGGAACTCAGGAATGCACAGCCCATTGTCTATCACAGCTAGCAATCTGGGGGCCTGTCCCGCAGGTGATTCCACAGAACTGGGTGCCAGACTTGTGTGTAAGCTCCTCCAGGGAGGTGCTGGTGACCTTGTTTTAGGGTTGTATGAGCCAAAGGGGGAAGGCAGGGGAACTGCCTCCTGGCTCCGTTGGGCTCTAGAGAGGATCATAGTCAATACCTACATATGTGCAGTTTCTTTTTAAAAATATTTTTGTATAATTTTTTTCTTTATTGATTAAGGTATTACATATGTTTCCTTATCCCCCCAAATTATCCCCCCCCCCACTCATGCCCTCACCCCCCTGGTGTCTGTGTCCATTGGTTATGCTTATATGCATGCATACAAGTCCTTTGGTTGATCCTTCCCCCTTGCCCCCTCCCTCCCTTCCCTTCCCTCTGAGGTTTGACGGTCTGATCGATGTGCAGTTTCAATGTAGATATTTTTTCGGTCACCCGATGCATAGCAGTCACTCAGCTAGTTTCTGGATTTCTCTCAGAGGAAATTGCTTTGCGTGTAGCTATGTAATGTCAACGTAAGAAACATTCAAACCTATGAAGAATTTTTTTGAGTTTATTTCAACCAAGTTGTTGGCAAATGCCGAGAGGCAGAATCTCAACGGATTGAGATAATGCTCTGGAGAATGGCAGTTTTCACCTTGTTTTATACATTACAATCAAAAGAGGTGACATAACCTGGGTGATGTGACTCAGTGGTTGAGCATCGGCCCATGAACCAGGAGGTCACAGTTCAATTCCCGGTCAGGGCACATGCCCAATTTGGGCTCAATCCCCAGTGGCGGGCGTGCAGGAGGCAGCCGAATGATGTTTCTCTCTTATTGATATTTCTATCTCTCAATCCTTCTTCCTTCTTCTCTCTAAAATCAATGAAATATATATATATATATTTTTAACAAGAGGAGATGTAAGTGGGTTACATGAAATCCATTAGTGATAGATTAGGGAGTTAGGAGAAAGTAAAGTGGGGAAATTCTGGGTTTGATAAAAAGTAAAATGATAGACACATACTTCTTTTACTTAGGTGGGTGCAGGACAGTCAACAGTCAACAATTAACTCAATAATAATGAGGGGATTTGTGCTCTCTGCAGAGTGGTGCCTGTGCTTTGAGGGGAAAAAGGAAAATTACTTTGATATTCCAACAATATATGTTATCATAGATATAAAAAGACAATGGACAGGCTCAGTTAGGTAAAGATTGACCTTTGTCAGGGAAGATACTGGCCTAGGACATGACTACCCACCATAAACTACTTTTAGTTTTAAGTTTTTTCATTTCAGACCATCCTTTGTGGTTGCTTCAGGTCTCTGAACTTGCCAGGCTGCCACCCAGACCTAGTCAGTCAGGTTAGCATGTGGCCCCTTTTCATCCACAACAGTTAGGGTGTCGATTGGAGGAAGGAAATTCAGGAGCCTCCTATGTTGCCATCTTGGTCAAAAGCTCTCAGGCTAAATTATACTCAAAAGCAAGTAAAGACAGTGTTCTGTTCTACATGGGTCATCTGGTGCAGCAACTGGCGAGGGAACAGTCAGAGGGAAGAAATGCATGGGGTAAGGTATGTGGGAAGGGGTGTGGAGCGTCCATGCCCTCTCTGGGCATGACTCTCCCAGCACCTCCACATCCTCACCAACCCAGAAGCTCTCTGTCATACAATCTTGACTTTTTCCTTTTTAATCAGATATTTATGGACCTGGAAGACTGGTTTTGCTCTTTTAGTTCTGTGAGTTTCATTTTCTGTAAAACATTTTTTGACAAAATGATTTTTTAACCAAACAGAAAATCCAATACTTAGAGCTAAGCAAAAATATTAGCTGCTCATTTGTTTTCTTAAAAAAAAAATATGGAAAAAACAATGTCCGTTAAAACAAATATATGAATTCTCATTGGTGCCTTTTAAACCGTGTTTCAATTTATATTCCATGTTAATAGTTTTATCGTAAACACTGGTAGATTATCTCATTAGAACATGATATATAGCACTAAAGATTTTTCCCAGTGTACTTCATGGAGGCTTCAGAAATCTGAGCCTGGGGACCTTTAAGCTACCTTGCAGCCTTCTCAAGGCAATACAACAAAGACAGAACTGCAGGCATTATGAATCAAAGAAGAATATTTCCATTCAGGTTAAAGGAATTTCTTCAGCATGGAAGAGTATAATTCTAAGTCTGGAAGAGCCATTTTCGGGTCTTTTATAATAAGCAATTCTAGCTTTCCTGAATGTGTTCCTTTCTCTCTCAGCATTTGTCAATGTATTCGAAATTCATTCAAATCACTTGGGCTGCATTTTGAAAGTGGCTCATGGAAATTTAAGCAGACAATACCCATTAACACTAATGAACTTCCTAAGGCAAAATCCCCTCATACTGGGCTCAATATTAACCTCAGTATGAGGTTAGATTTTACCAAATATTTAGAGAATACCCAATTCTTTAACAATATTTCAAATGCTAATTTTTTAAAACTGGAAAACATTTCTTTTATTCATTCTCTCTTTTTGTTTTAACAGCAGATATTGTGGTCTTTTACCCTTCAGTTCCATTAAAGCAAAATAATGAAGTGTTAACATTTTACTTAAAGGGATATAATGAATACTTTAAAAATAATGAAAATAAATCAGTATGCCTTAGCAAATTGCATTCATGCTGAAGTTTTAGTCTTCTTAACAGGTGATGGCCAAAATCCAAACTGTCATACTCAGAATAATACTCAGAAATTTTGAATTCAATTTAGATATCATCAGTGTCTTCATCGTCATCTCTAATATCATCAAACTGGTTTTAATCATTGTCTTCAGGACCAAATGTATCTATGTCATGATTTTAGCATGTTCTAAAAGCTCACCGTATGCCAAATGCTATTTCAATTACAGAATTCCATTAACCATATAAAACTTAAGTAGCACAACTACTAGATTTGAAGGCTAGATCCATATTTTTTTGTGAAGGCTCCGCCCAGAATCGATTGATATGCTTTTCTCATTGTGTTTCTTCTGTTCCGATGGGGTTTCCAGGCACAGCACTTGTTGTCCAATGGGACCACGTACATCTCCAGGATAATTACAACCTGGGAAGCTTCACATTCCAGGCAACCCTCCTCATAGATGGGCGCATCATATTTGGCTACAAAGAAGTAAGTAATGTATAGAAAATTTATTTCACCCTTGACTTTGACCTCTATCTATTCTTTCCTTCAAATGTCAAGAAAGAGACACTTTATAGTAATGAAACTCAAATAATTTTCTCACCTCTTGGTTTCTTTACCTTGATTTAAAAAAAGTTTTTAATCTACTGGGTAGTACTGATTGTTAATTCTTTGTTGTTTTTTAAAATATTCTTATATCACTGGCATTATAATCCATTAATTTTATAAATTTATTGAATAATTATATTCTAGTAATATTATAATAAAATAACTCTAAGA